CCCAAATAAAACCTGATTAAAAAAAAAAAACACTAGCACGCGCGCGTTTTCTCCCACTTATTTTTTGTTTTTCATTGGGCGGCGAACAGCTGATTACTTCGCCGCTACTGCGAATTCACTTTGAGGATTTAGCATGAAGTGAAGTAGTGATAAATCGTTGATTTCAGCTACGTTCATAGGTATTATTGTGAGGGACACGATAAATTCAAGTTGAAACAAATGTATCTGAACAGCGTGACATTCTGCCATATCTCAGCGAGTGGGAGAGAGACGGGGCTCAACACAGTGAGAGATCGGGGTGAGAGAAAAAAGGCCCGAACAAGAACAACACTGCCACAAATACAAACACACACACGTATTCAGCCACGAAGCTGAAGCCCAAAACAGGCAGTGTGCAAATAGGTGTAAGCGCTGTACACGTGTGTGGTTGTCCGTCGCCGCGTTTATGCGGCATTTACCGTAAACCGCAGTAGCCCACTGATTAGCTGAATGAGTTTCATTCAGTCTTGATACCAAACAAAAAAAGTGGAAAATAAAACGCTGTAAAGATGTCTAAGTTTTTTAACTCTGATGCATACATTTTTAGTTCTGCAGTCATTCCTTAAAAAATGTATTCTATAGAAAGGCTAAAAATCAATCATGTCTTCTTCGTTAACCGTTGAATTCCTCTGATGTGTCTTTATATATTTTATATAACAATTAAATACAAAGTTTAATGAATCCCTAGTATGTAAAGAAAATGTAACAAGCAATCCATGGTATGGGTTTTTGTTGAATTTGGGGCACGCATAAACGCAGTATATAGACCAGTATTTCAGCCCGCTCGCACTGGCGAGGTACCTGGTTTATAGTTATCTAGTCGACTGGTGCAGACGAACTGTGCAACTGTTTCTCCAATAGCCGGGATTATGGTTTCACCTGCATTTCGGGACTCTGCCCAGGCATTGTAGGATAACACCCGCCGAATTCAAGACTCCCATGGCTACCATCTGGTGGGACAGTCCGGCCTTTTCTCGTATAGGTCGCTGCCTAAGCCCCCACGAGTCTGTATGTCTGTGTGTGTGCAGGTGTGTGTGCGTGTGGTGTGCCCGTGGGTGCGGGAGAGTTTTCAGGTATTTTTAGCGTTCGACCTTTTGCGGTTTTTGTTTTGGGCATCTTCATCTCCATTCTCCGTTGTCCACCACCTGCTTTGTTGTTATGATTATGCAAATATTGGGCTGGCGACAGGTGAATAATTATTACATCGAATGAAGACGAAGACCTTAAAGATCTAAAACTGGAAATGCTTAGAAAAGCCGGTTAGATAGGAAACCAGGGGTGCCAAACGATTTCAGCTTAATTCTGCATTATATTATATTATATGTTGATTTGCAATGCAAATGTTTAATATGCTTGTCATAGCAAATTAGGAGTAATTAATATTTCCTAGTAATGCCAGTTGAGACCAGTGGGTTCCATATGTCACACTTTTTGAAAATAGTTAATAATTGTAATACCGAATTAGTTTTTATTCTGTTTTCTGAATACCATCTGTTTAGGCATATGCTTGCTTTATGTTTTCAAACTTAAAGGTAGAATAATGAAAACTAGAAACCTATCGCACTGTATTTAATTCGGATTAATCCGACAAATGGACTACCGGTCTTTGATCAACAATCGTGTCGAGTCACGAACTTAAGTATCGAACCATCTCTATTTGGGTAAGGGTCACGGGGTGGCCATCTCTAATGTCCAGGCGATCTGGTTTCGGGTTGTTTATGCTACTGCATTTTTATCCTTGTAACACCGATTGAAACACACGCACACCAACACTAATTGAGTGTGGGTATACCTTTTGGTATGCGTGTATGTGCATATGCACCCCAATCTTATGTGCCGCTGGCCTTTTGTTGAATTCCGACTCCGTGCGCTTCATTCGCTCCATTCTCTTCACTTCGCTGCGATGAAATCGCCGTGGATACGGCGAAAACAACGCATCGTTGATAGTACCACACACACGCACACATACCCAGTTACTCACTAACACTTCGACACCCATGTATATCCGTGAAAATACATGCAGTTGTGTTATCAAAGAAGACATTTTAGTCGCGTGTTATGCGTATATCCGAAACTAAGGAACCTCCGCATCTTCCTACTTCCAACTCCGCAGGACAAATATCCAAAATGCTGAAGCCGGCCCAAAGCAGGTCCGAAATGGAGGGCGGTAAACCCGTGGCTGTGGTCTACGCCACCACCTCATCCGCGCGCAACAGCGGAAATGCTAGCGGCATCGGCAACGTGGGCCGCATGGGCGCCTTTAGTCAGATGGTAAGTGTAAAACGTTCTCCACGTTGCTTACACCTAGTACCTAACGATCCGAATAACCCACAGGGCTCCAGCAGTCAGGGTCAGTTTATACGGCTGCAGGACAACGGACTGTCCATTCCAAAAACAGAAGGTAAGCGTGTCTCACTCTGGTGATCCTCCTCTTACTCATTTGGATTCCTTCGTGTAACAGGTACTACCTACACCACCGTTTCGGCGCAGAAGACTTCGGGTGCTGGCAGTGGTCTTTACGACTTGCCCTTGAAGGGAGATCGCTATGTGAAGTTTACGCCAAATCCCATGAAAATGAAATCAAAACTGTAAGTAGTAGCCAACCGAGCTGTTTGGAGAAGGATACTGAAACTTTGCCCCTTTTTTAACAGCCATGCCATTCAGAGCAACTCGTTGCACTCCATGTCCGCCTCGTCATCGTCCGTACAAAGGAAACGCAAGCCGGACAAGGCAGGCAAGGGTTTGCGTCACTTCTCGATGAAGGTCTGCGAAAAGGTGGAGGAGAAGGGCAAGACCACCTACAACGAGGTGGCCGACGACCTGGTCAGCGAGGAGATGAAGAACAATGCGTACGACAACAACTGTGATCAAAAGAATATCCGACGTCGTGTCTACGATGCGCTCAACGTACTGATGGCAATCAATGTTATTTCGAAGGACAAGAAGGAGATTCGCTGGATAGGACTGCCCGCCAATTCGGCAGAGGTTGGACTTGCGTTCACCATAAGCACCAAACGCCATGCTAATCTGATAATGTTGCCCCTTTCCACAGACATTTCTAGCCCTGGAAGAGGAAAACAGTCAGCGCCGCGAGCGAATCAAACAGAAAAACGAAATGCTGCGCGAAATGATCATGCAGCATGTGGCGTTCAAGGGATTGGTCGAGCGGAACAAGCGGTACGAGAGCCAGGGCGTGGTGCCTTCCCCCAATGCCTCGATCCAGCTACCGTTCATCATCGTGAACACGCACAAGTCCACGAAAATCAACTGCAGTGTGACCAACGACAAGTGAGCTTACACTCAGTCGGAAGTATGGCTGGTATTCTATATCCCAAATTTCGTTTCAGGTCCGAATACATATTCAAGTTTGACAAAACCTTCGAAATGCACGATGACATTGAGGTGCTCAAGCGCATGGGATTGCTGTTGGGTGAGTGTGTTTTACTTATGCTGTCAGGATACGAAATTCATTGCTTATGCTGTTATTTGCAGGACTGGATAAGGGCGAATGCACGCCGGAGAACATTGAACGAGTCAAGTCGTGGGTGCCCCCAAACCTCGCCAAATACGTAGAAGGTATGTTGGTCTTATATTGCCTTCCAATTCAATTATAAAGTTTAATTTATAATTTTCTCAGCCTACGGCACCGGCAAGTCTGGCGAAACCATTTACGAATCGGACGACGAGGACAATGAGTTCAACGGGTACCTGGAGTCGGCCAATGAGTCCCAGGGTTTTGCACAACACTCGGCACAACACACCACCGATGGCGAGTTCAAGCTGGAGATGGACGATGACGAGCTGGACGACGACATTGATTGAGCTGATTGTGCCGCCGTCATTGTGCCAGCCATGGCCGATGCGGACCCGGATGCGGATGGAAGAGCAGATGCTGATGCGGAGGACACATTTAGTTTTACGTTTATCAACGCTTTGTTAGGTTTGCCACGGCCCCCTGGATAGGCAGGAACCGCACTCCACTCCACTCCACTCCACACCCAATCCGACCCACCCACACAATTGGTTTTGTTTACTTCTCAATGAGACTCTATTAAATTATATATACAGCTCGCAGCGACGAGAAAGAATGATTCGGTAGTTCATGTATGTAAGTGTAGTTTGCATACACAGTTTGTAATTGTATCATTGAAGATTTATGTTTAAGCTCAAACGTTTTTAAAATAATTTGTCTAGTTAAGGAGAACGCGTATTTTAGTTCAAACCACAATTCACATATGGCAATACCGCGAAACCACAGGCCCATACTAATGTTCACTCTCTACTTAGTTGTTATCAGTCTCCCTTTTCCCTCAATGGCCTTTTCATGTTTGGGTAGGCTTAAGCAAAAGCGATAATGTTATGGGTAATTGTCTCTTAATAATATAATATACCAAAACTGTACACAACCGCAGTGAAATGCAATTATTTTTAGAATGCCACGAGCAGTTTGGACTGCAGACAAGAGCGAACATATGAAATATTTTTAATTTGCTAACACCCTTCGACAAAGCGATTGTTTTAGATTCTCAAAACCCAACATTTTAAGTTGACAAAGGAGTGCAGATAGTTGCGAAATAATCAACCTACCTAATTAGAATAACAATTAAAACAAGATATACATTTTTCAGAATTTGTATTTATATTATTGAACCTTCTTCAAGTGAATACAACAGCATACAAATACAAATTAGTAGAAAGTCAAGTATAAGGCGTTAACAATTAAGTGTCGAGCATGTAGTTGTGTAATAAATCGAAATAATTGCATGGATGCAAAGGAAATTACAAACAAGTGAGACGAAATCGAACCGAGTGACAAGTTAATAAAGAAGTAATTTGCATATTGTAAAATATGATAAACCGAGAATTTAATCTTTTCCTCCTTTGCTTGCACACATTTCACAGAGCGAATAACCTGAGAAGCCCCTGCACCACCCAATAAGTCAACAATCCATGACACCTCATATGGTTAGTGTTTACCTTCATTGGGATCGCTGACTAATTAACATTTACAACTAAATGGAAATATACAAAAGGCGGAAGCTAACTTAAAATACAGGGACGTACATATACAGAAGCTGAACCAAACATAACTTAAACTTAAGCTAAATCTCCGAGGATTGGTCGGCTCAGGCGAATCCCTCGCCCAGCACAGCTGACGTCGTTGAGGGCGGACCCAAAGGTGCCTGTTGCTGGGCAGCGAGGTTGAAGTCGTAGTTCATCTGCTGCTCCAACGGAGGAGAGGCAAAGGCTGCCGCGGACAAATTCATTAGTTCCGGCTGTGGCTGTGCGGGCTTCATTTGATCCTGCATCTCTTGGCGCATTTGTTGTGGCGATTTCACATAGCTAATTGGAATGATGCCGGAGGTTTGTCCGTTTGTGGTGGCTAGAGCCCAGCCAGTGTTCAGCAGGTTGAGCGTCTGCTGGATGTCGCGGGGAGCCACATGGAGCGTTTGGCCGGCGCGCAGCGAAAGCTCGCTTGGGCTGCGACCCACGAAGTCGTAAACGGCCTGAGTCTGAATCGGCGCAGTCCACTTGGCTGGATTACGGGCTGTTTGGGATGAGAGCACAGGCGTTATTCGCAGTCTTATCTTAAGAGGCCTTATCGGCCAGATTATAGCACATGGACGGAGCAAAGTGCTCTCGATTAGATAAACTGGGCTGTGCAATGTGCAGGGCTTACCTTCCTCCTGGGCGGTGTTCGTCACGGTTCCCAGCAGCTTCATGATCAAGTAGGGAGCAGTGAAGATGAAGCTGATAAAGGCCAGCACCGGCCAGGGTGAGTTGCCCTTTCGCGGCACATTAGGTGCTCCTCTCGTTTGGGCATTGTTTTCGTTAAGTGCCTCGGCAAAGGCCTTCTTGAAGGCCGCCGATGAAGGGTCCAGGTTCGAAATTCGCAGCCAATAGAGTATCCTTTAACGAAAGAAATGGTTAAATTTGCTTCCACACTTTTACACCGCACTCACTTTCTGTAGATCCAGTTTAGACCGCGGAATATGGCAAAAGTGGTCCAGAACTGGGCAAAAACACTTCGCAGCCGTACAAAGTTCGTGGCCACGCCGAGAATGGCGCGGAACGAGCTGGTCAGCGCAAAGAATGTGGAGTCAAGCATGGAGGCGATGTTGCCGATGGCCGACACTAGGGATTCGATGCTCTGGAAGGCCGGACGCGAGCTGGCCTCAGCAATATGAATGAACCGCTGCTCCGGATCGTTGTCGCCTAGGGCTCCAAATCTGTTGTATCCTCCGCCGAAGCCTCCGCCATAGCCTCCACCATAGCCTCCTCCATAGCCGCCTCCATATCCGTATCCACTTCCAAAGCCACTTCCAAGTCCAGCCAATCCACCATATCCAAAGGCGCCACTATTGAAGCCACCGTATCCCCCAAGTCCGTAGTTATTTCCGCCGTACCCGCTGCCGAATCCACCGAACTGTTGTGTCTGCTGGAATGGTGATTGCGGCAGTGGAGGGGGCTGCGCCGGTCCGGGCAGCGCCCTAACATTGCCGTACGGAGTGCGCAGCACTGCCTCCGGCGGAGATCCTCCGCCGCTGGACACGCCCGCTCCGATGCTGCTCGAGGGCGGCAGCAGGGGCGCCTCGCTGATCACCGCACTGCGCAGGTTATTGTTGTCGACCATGGTGACGAAATCTAACTGACTTCGGACAAAAGGAAAAGTGCTGTGAACTTTACCCCACGGCACGGTAGTTGCTTTTGTACGTTCGGCCCGATTGCCGATTTCTCGCTGTGATTTGGCGGGTGCTGTGTGAGCGGTTGGGCGGATTTGCTATTTATCGTTGCTATTGCCTCGGAACTCCAGCAGAGGCTTATCAACGAACTTTGGCGAAATTTTTGTTTTAACTATTAATCAATTTCAGCAGTTGTGGCGTTCTATCTAATTCCAGCTAGACTTAGCGGGATTTCCAACTAGAGATGCCACTTGAACAGAGTGACCAGATGTCTACATGTTTTGGTACGGGTAACTGTAAATAAATAAACCAGCATACAATCATTTTTATAACAGAAATCATTTTGATAAGCTTGCGGCATCGTAATAAAAACTTGTATAACATTCAGTCCAAATTTGTGTATTCTTGCTGAAAAAAAAAACTGTCTCTTGGTGTTAGTATTCTGCAGACAATTTTAGGACTAACGATATCACAATAAAGACTAAACACCACAGATGATAATATAAAAGACTTATAATTGTTGTTTAAATGCATACGGAACGGGTGGCAACTCTGTCGGGCATCGCCAACTCGCAAATGAACAACAGCTGTTTAACCTGCGATAGCACAATACTATGAGTTTTGATGCCGATTGTGATGAGTTTATTCAACAAAAACTTTTCCGCACTAGAGGGAAATGTGGTAAGTCGACGCTACCGCCTACTAGGGCGTTCCGAAGTATCAGTATAAATTAACGTGACCCACAGCAATATATGCGCGCCAATCGGAAGTCTACGTCGCAGTGAAGCAAAAGTCCACTTTCCGAGCCACTGCACCCACATTGGCCATGGCGGAGGGCAACAACAACAATGTGATCAACATGCGACATGACATTTGGTTCCACATATCCATGCACATTGACCCGGAGGACGTGCAGACCTTCGCTCTCATATGTAAACAAACCGCCAGACTGGTGGCTTTACGGGCCTTTTGGCGCAATCTTTACCGGCGTCACTGCACCGGAGCCACCGCTGCTTGGAATCTGGTCCTGCCCGCCGAGCTGCAGCTGGAGCAGATACGCAAATGTGATACCCGGGCCCTCAGATCACTGGTCCTCGAGGCGCTCTTCCACTGCTACCGTCCGTTGAGAGTTCGCCTGCAGCTAGGCTATAACCTGGACTGGCTGTTGAATCGCATCTTAATTTCCAGTTGGCAGACGCAGGACCAGTGTCTGTGGATCATGTGCTACAAGTTTTCGAACCGACTGCCCCATGTGCAGGACGAATCGGAGACGGACACCAGCGAAGTTGTTAATGACTGGGAATCCCTGGCGGAGAATGATACGGCGAAGCTAGCTCCCACTTTGGGCAATCCCAACGAGGGTGTGGTCATGCTTATTGTTCAGTGCCGCCACGTCGTGCCAACTGCCAACCAGTTATCCTACAGCCGTCAGCAGGCACGCTATCGCCTACGGGCCACCCGGGAACTCCTCTGCACGGACATGCGGGCCACGAAGCTAGAGTTGGACTTCGCCGAGGATGGCTGCCAAAATGTGTCTGTAACCATTAAATACGCTCGCATAGAAAAGTACAAAGTATTGCCCTGGTGGCATCCGGACTTCCAGAGATTAAATAAAACCCTCGCCTCATACTAATTGTCTTTTCTTATCTGCAATATCTGTGTGTTTGCACCTTATCGCAAGTGCTACCGCCCCAAACAAGTGTTCAACATTCAACATGTGTAAACATTCGTGTAGCATTGATTGTTTTATTCAAACTGCCACTTCTGGAGGGAAAAATAACATATGCATTCCTAAAAAATAAAGCAATCAAGTGCATCGTCGTGGTAAAAAGCGATTATGTTAGAGGCTACAACTGGCAGAAGACTGTTCATATATACACACTTTTAACTTAATCATAAATCTAGGGGCCACGAATACAAAACATGTAGTGAGGTGGCGTGTTAAATTCCGTTTCTGGGTGTTCGGTGTCTTTGTTTGTTGTTTAGAATTAGGGGAAGCTTGTCTGGTGGTTAACCTACACCTTGCCCAGAACGTCGTGGCCGTAGGGCTTCTTGCGGTAACCCTTGAAGGCGAACAATTTAAATGCCAACACCATCATCGCAATGCAGAAGGCGTACAGCAGCATGCCCATCCGCATATCCATGTCGGTGAAGACGTTTATGATCTGTCGCTTCTGCCGCATCTTGTCCTCCGAGGGATGCAGCAGCTCCTCTCGCTGCACACCGTACCGGCTGATGAACAGCGGATTGTATATGTTCTTGAGAAAGGCCAACACGGCGCTCTTGTTCCACTCGATATCCAAATTCTCCGACTTGGACGCGGGCGTACGGTAGCATTCGCTGCAGCTATCCGTAGCTGGGAACTGCTTCTTCGGGAACTCTGGATCCTCGGTGGCGTCGCCCGCCAATCGCTGGTTTACCTCGTTGTGGGCTGCCCAAAGCCAAAGAACCGCCTCCTCCTTGTTCGGCACACTCCAGATTTTGCGCCTCGATGCCATTGCCTGTGAAACGTAAACAAAATAAATTACTCAATGCGGGAGCGTTACAACAAAACAACTGTTGTCACAGCTGCCGAACGAAAACAGTGTTAATTACAGTGGTACCTCGCTGAGAGCAACCCCGAAAAGAAATGCCAAATGGGTACCAAATCTATTTAAAGGAGGTGTGTTACAAGAGCTGATTAATTATCTTCCCTAATTAATAATTCAAGTTTCAGGAAGAAGTCTGCATTACTGTAATTATCAGTAAGAATTCAAAACTCTGTTGAAATGAAATAGCATCTTAAAATGTAGCTGCAAGCAATTATTTAAATTTACCTGGCTACAAGTCGCCTTGTAGCCTACTAATAAATCACCCGTGTAGTTAGCCTCAAGAGAAAGCAGATGTGTGACTCACGGTTTATAAATAACAAATAAAATCTCGGCAGTTAGACCAGTGAAACCCCGGATTCGGAGGTGCTGATCCATAGACTGTAATTTTCAATGCACATAGCATTAAATAATACACAAGTGCAGCTGTTTAATGGGTTAGTTTTGGCGCTAAATTGATGTTCTGCTGAAAAAAGATCGAATTGGCATGCATGGAAAATTCCGACAGTCAGCACTCAAGTCTTTTGTTTGGTAATCAACTATCCTACCCTACCCCATAACGATCGCCTTCCTAATCAGCACTATTGTGGTCATTGGCACGTACGTAGCTCCCTCTCCGCCTGCTGACTCACCTGAAAGTGCTCGGAGCACTCAGTGCAGCCAAAGAAGTTCTTGATGTAGCCGTGCATGGCCTGCAGGACTTCGAGTGGATCCTGGGACTCCTCATTGTTGGCCGCCTGCACGGTCATGAAGTGGAAGAGTGTCCACAGGGAGCAGCTGAAGCCTCGCAGGCGAGGACTGGATCCAGCGCATCCCACAAAGTGGGTGGAGGAGTAGACGGGCGAGAGCTGGGCCTCCAGACGCTTTAGCTCCTCCTCGAACTGGCTGCCCGACACTTGCTCATTAAACTGTACCACGTAGTCCTTCAGCTTGGACACCAGCTGGTGGCCATTGGCGCCCAGCGGATTGTAGCGCTGCAGCACGGCCAGGAACCGCTGCAGTGCGAGCAGTTTCTCGCCACTGATCTCGCCCACCTTGGACACCTCGTTGTGCAGCACTGTGCGAATGGCCTGCTCGAGATCTGCCTGGTAGACGAAGTGCTTGTTCCGGTGCACTTCATTGATCAATTCGTTCTGTCCCGTAATCTTGGTCGGCGGCGTAGCCAATGGTTGATGAACCTTCGCTGGCCTGGTAGTGATATTCTTCTTACCCAGCACTTCCCACAGCTTCTTGACATACGATTCACTATTAGGTTCCGCCGCGTACGCCGTAATCTCGCCCTTGCGATCAACTAAGCTGAGGGGCCGATTGCTCGGGTCAATCTTGAATTTGGCGGCCACAGCAGGATCGACGACGCGCCGAACGCTCACCGTTGGCCACTGGGTCATGAACAGAGCAACCTCGGCGCCAAGAGTGGTGTTCTCCGGTTCGTGGACCACTACCACGTACTGCTTGACGCTGCTGAGACCTTCGAACAAACTGCTGGCGGAATCGTTCTCCGATAAGTAGTGAAAGTTTGGCCAGTGGGAGTTGTTGTGGCTGCTGGTCAGGTTCTCAGCGGCCACCATTCCCGCCAGTGTTTCGCGGATCTCCTTTATATCCTGCGTATGCAGACTCTGCCCGTAGTGCTGAGGACCCGGCTGGAAACCGGGGCCCAGGTAACGCAGCGTTGGATAGCCCATCACCTCGTAGTTGCGGCAGACGCCATTGTTCTCCTCGGCGGCACAATCGATAGCCGCCACGATGAGCACCTCGGACCAGGGCAACAGGTGATCGGATAGCGTCTTGTACGTAGGTGCGAATCTGCGACAATGGCCGCAGTAAGTGTTGTAGAACTCCACGAGTGCACCGTGATTCTGGTCCACCACGGTGGCATTGAAGTTGTTCACCGTCAGGCGGACCACCTTATCCTCGTCGTCGTAGAGACCCAGTGTGGGATCCGATGGAGCGGACTGCTCCTTGAGGAGTGCCTCGTATCGCGGAAGGGGAACGCCCGCAGATGTGAAGTCCACCAGCAGAGAGACGGCTAGAATCACCAGGTTCGTCGCCGACATTTTGCGGATCTAGCCAATTTGCGGGAGCGGTTGCGAATCGTAGGGAATGCGATGTGGAACGCGACTGCTGCTCTGCTGCGATAAGATTTAACTTCGGGGAAGCATTTGGAATGTTTTACGGTCGCAAGTGGTTTGATTAACTGCTGGCAGGGATGCCACGTCAGCTGCTTTATAGCCAAGGTTTAGCTACTTTCCAAACCCGCCAAGCGAAACGCTGTTAAAGTTGTTGGTGCCAGCTCATTTGTGCACTTTTAAATTACTTTAGCAATTTGTTGTATATAAATTTCAGCTCCAAGAGTTTACTACTACTGCGAACTAGTTCCAGGCAGTTTCAAGAATTAAAATAAAATAAATGAATAAATAAATAAATAACAAAACATTACAATGCACCTAAGGTAATACCTGCTTGCATTCTACATCAAGGAAATCATTATTTTTTTGAGTTTAAAACTTTTCATTGTTTAGTTAAACATATTGCTTATTCTTGTGTTGTTTTGTTCATTATAGGCATTCATTAAGAGCATTCCTATTATTTATGCTTATAGATATGTATATTAATGGAAGTGCTTTCAAAAATTCCAGGAAATAAGAATAGCGTTCGTCTCATTGAAGTTCAGTACCTTATGATCTTTGCATGGTTTTTTTTTAAACTTACTTTAAGAAACTCATTACTAGGTCGTTATTTTATTTAAAAGAAATTCCATTTCTGAGAACAAAATAAGATAAGATATGTAAAAAGCAAACTTTATATTGATTTATATTAGCAAACAACAACTAACTACTAGCATATTGCAGAACTATACATTTAGTATTGAATTTATGCGTATTAACTTCCTTATTATTGTCTTAAATATTTATAGTTCTTTAAATGAAATCATTTGCTTCCCTTGGAGAATGAATGACCGCTGTTAAATACCGTTTTTTAACACTGCAATGGCTGCCACACGTTAACAGTAGTATTTTACCAATTCCTTTTCCTGGCTTAACAGTTTTACCGTTAGCAGCACTGCCAAAGATCGCTTTGCAGCACTGTCGCAGCTGGGGGTACAAAAAATAACGGGAGTAAGATGATTTTGCGTTCGTGGGATCGGGTTAAACCTCATTCCATTTCGGATTTCGCATGTTTCCTCCTGGTGGCTGTCTTTGTGCCCGTGACGTACATCTTCCAGGTGACCGTTGTCATGCCGGAACTGTTTGCCATCGGTGGCGTTTGGTACACGTTATTCTGGTTGGCCAGCCTGTTCTTGATCTTCAACATCACCTCCAACATGCTGGCCTGCATGCTTGTGGACACTAGTATCCGCAGTGGGTAGAACGCAATGGTTTTGTGGTATCTCTTCTAAGATTATCTTTATAGAGGAGCTCCTGAAGCCACCGATGGATGCCGAGCAGCTGGCCCGTTGGCACTCTTGCCACGATTGCCAAACACTGGTGCCGCCTCGATCCTGGCACTGCGAAGTGTGCAACGTGTGCGTGCTGAAGCGGGACCATCACTGCCGTTTCACTTGCTGCTGCATCGGACACCACAACTACAGGTACTTTTTCTACTACCTGGTGTACATGATTATCGGATCCTTGGCGGCCGCCATTATGGAGAGCATCTATCTGTGGCATCTTCATCTGGACATCTACTGGCGCTGGTCCACGCTGTTCACCATCTTTGCTCCTGTGGTCAGCGTGATGCTGTCGCCAAGCTGGGAGGCCTTCTACTTGGTCATATATGATCTCACCCTTCTGGGCTTCGGCATATCATCCCTGCTCCTTGTCTTCCACTGGTCGATATTCAAGAGCGGTTCGGTGACAAGGGAGCGCGGCACAAGAAAATACGATCGCGGCTTGCGGGGTAACCTGGAGATGGTTCTGGGCAGGCGAATGCATCTCACCTGGCTGTCGCCGTTTCTACGCAGTGATCTGCCCCACGACGGGGTGAACTGGGTTCCCATAGCCGCCTTTTCTCCAAAGGAGGAATAGCTCTGCATTGTCTTACTCCATTTTGACATTCATTAGAGGCATTTCCTTATATTTACGCATAACATATTATATTATTCAGTATTGTTTATTTTAAGACTCAATATTTAACATTTGAATCTGAATTGGTATCCAAATTCTTTGTGTATATCATACATTTGGTACTAGTCAATAATTGGTAATATTATTCTCAGTTTGACCTAGAGAAATTAATTCTTAGTGTCTACAAATCTCACTTTGATCAGCTGACATGTGAAAATAGTACAAACCCCCTTTATTAACATACGAATAAGCTTTATAAAATATTTAGAATACTGTGTATTCAGTAACGTCTATTGTATGTGTAGAGAATTAAATTATTTTGTTTAATGAAGCCATACTAGTATTTATTTAATGGTTATTTATTTAGCAACGTTCGTTATACCAATTACAAAAGACTATTACTTATCGAGGAAACTTTCGCCCACTAGCGATTTCAGCTTGGACAGATGTGTTTCATTTAGAGTAAATCCTTCATGAATGCGTTTGGCTAACGCTCTGGAATCGATGTTGTTTTCAACGGCGTATTGCAGTGCCAACAGCGCCTGGCTGGGTGCCTTCTCCTGCACACTCGCGTCCACAAATTCAAGCAGAGCATTTAAGCTGGGTGTTCCGGGAATCCTGTGCTGGTTTTTGTCTATGTGAGCGAAGACCTCGGTCGCCTTTTCGTAGCTACCACCGCGGACGAGCAGCGTGAGTATATCTCCCAGCATTTGGCCGGTGAAGGACACCTTTCGGAGTCGCTTGATAGCCTCCTCCACCCTTTCGTACATATCCAGCGCCACCTTGGCGGCCTGCTCCGGCAACTGTGCTTGGGCTGCGGAATCTGGATTCGGCTTATTGTCTACCAAAATGCGAAGAACATAGAGTAGAAGACTTTCTCGGTGCGTATGATCAAACACCACCATGTCAGACCAAATGCGTGGCACATACTCAACGCCGCCGTTGATCTCAATGGCTCTAAGGATCTCTTCCATGATACCCGGTTCGGGTATGTAGATGTTGGGCACCAGCCGGTCGTAGCTCATCATGAAGTCATCAATCAACTCTGTTTGGCAAAGTAGAGCCAGATAGTTGCGGTAGTAGATTGATTCCTTGAAGGAGTCGCCAATCAAATCGTAGTTCTTGCCCGTGTGCAGCAGTTCGTCTACCTTCTTCGCCAACGATTTGTCGTGTAAATGATTGCGGCACACATCCATGGCGGTGGCAAAGAAGTACGTGTCTTTGGGATGCTGAATCTGGAACTCCTTGCCAGAAATATCGTTAAGGATATCCACAATAACATGGGACACTGGTCCTCTTTCTCGGCAGAAGATGATCAGAAGGTAGTAGTAGGTTCCGAGGCTAGGACTCACACCCAATTGTTTGAATTCCGGCAGAGCTTGCAGGGCAGCGGTGCGCGCCAGCTTTAAGTTGCCAAAGGTACTAATGCACTGAAGCACCGCGTTCAGAGTTCCCAAATTGGGTCTTAGCTTCTGCTGCGACATTTCATTCAACAGCTCAGTGCAGAGCTGCCAACGCTGCTCGGCTGTGTCCTTCAGAAAGCTTACTATTTCGATAACGGAATTAAAGGTGTTTGTGTCCAGTTGCACCTGCTTCTCGCCAGCCTCCTGGAGCAATGCGTACGCCCGTTCGCACTGCAAGTACTTGGCCATTCCACGGATGAGCGAGGCATACGATTGCGGCGTCTTTGGTTCGATTTCAGAGTACAGTTTCTCTGCCAGATCGCCATCCTTCCAGGTCTTGCCACTACGCTCTCGTCGTCGATTGTTCTGCAGGAACCAGCGCTCCTCAATGTATTCCTCCGGCAGCGGTTCCTGGTTGTTGTGGAAGCACACCAGTTCCAGAAGGCTCTGCTTAAGATCGGGACTGATTGGATTTCCCTTTTGTTCCAGAAGGTTGTAGACTAGAACAGCGTCTTTGAGTTCACCCTGGGAAATCAGTTGACCGAGGGAGCTCTCGTCCACCACTGAATCCTCGGTATAAACCATGCTGGGTGCAAATTTCTCGATGGCCGGTTGTGCTTCTTGGTGCTGTGACATGGAAAATGATTAGCATGTGGTAACACTTTCAGCTGGCTACTTACCATAAACAGTTCGCGGTGCTCCTCCTTGATCCACTTGGCCGCCTTGCGTCCCGATTCCTTCGACATGGCATAAGTACGCTTTGCCGCATTGGACATGGGTATCAGAAAGGGGTCATCGTGGTACTTGTAGTGGGGTGCGGTATGATCCCTGGCCACAGTGCCTGCCAGGGCCTGCAGGAGATCGGTTGGCGAACGCTCGATCCGATTGGGAATCTCAATGGGGGCATCTTCCGCCGGCGCCGCTGTTGTGTAATGTGCTCCGCTGGAACTTAAGCTGCGCGCGATGTTCGCCCTGGGCAGCAGTCTTAATTGTCGCGAGAGGTACATTGTTTAGCGGGCTGGACACAAATTAACCTGATTTTCAGTAATAAAACCAAGAAAATTAAATGTTTTTCTGGTTTTAGGTGGGGAAAATGCAGGTGCTTCTTCTTGCCCAAAAAGTTTGGCTGATCAGCTGAGGCTAACAGTCCGGTTAACAGTGCAGTTTAGTACGTCGATTTTCAACACTATATCAGGGATACCACACGAATTCAAATAAGAGCGCCAAATTTAAAATGAATTCGTTATCGTTCTGATCTATGTACATTTACATCCATTTATGGCTTTGGTGAAAGGCCAAACTATTTAATTTTAATATAATAATAAAAGGATGAACTACCTTGAACATTCAAATTTCACCATCCATGCCATGGCGACACAATTCAGTTCGAATTCAGTTACTGATCGGCTTTCAAGGCGTTCGTTTGTCTGCTTTTCTACCTGATCTTAACGATATGTCACAGCCTAAGCCGATTTTGTATTACGACGAGCGCAGTCCGCCCGTCCGCAGTTGTCTTATGCTAATCAAGTTGCTGGATATAGATGTCGAGCTCAGGTTTGTGAATCTCTTCAAGGGCGAGCAATTCCAAAAAGATTTCTTAGCGGTAAGTGAGGCAAATTTATTCAAAGGATTTAAATGTAATTCAACCAAATTTGCAATACCTTATAATTATAAAAAATCCTTAGACCTGATATATATGGCATTTTTAGTTGAATCCCCAGCACAGTGTGCCCACCCTAGTCCATGGCGATCTGGTGCTGACGGATAGTCATGCTATACTCATTCACCTGGCGGAGAAGTTCGACGAGGGAGGTAGCTTGTGGCCCCAGGAGCACGGAGAACGGATGAAGGTCCTGAACCTGCTGCTCTTCGAGTGCTCCTTTTTGTTCCGGCGTGACAGTGATTTTATGGTGGGTGTTCCGCAGCTAAAACGAGATATTCACATATTTAGATTTTACTTTTCCCAGTCGGCGATTGTCCGCCAGGGATTTGCCCATGTCGATGTGGCACACCATGAACGCAAGCTGACCGAGGCGTACACTATCATGGAGCGCTACCTGGAAAATAGCGATTTCATGGCCGGGCCACAGGTAAGAAACCAGCTCATCTGATTGCGATTCCCTGTCGTTGTGGCGGCTCAATTAAGTCTAGAATTTCACCTTTGTTGCCGCGGTTTCAGCTGACGCTCGCCGACTTATCCATCGTGACCACATTGAGCACCGTCAATCTCATGTTTCCCCTGTCGCAGTTCCCACGTCTGCGGCGCTGGTTCACCGCGATGCAGCAGCTGGATGCCTACGAGGCGAACTGCAGCGGCTTGGAGAAGCTCCGCCAAACGATGGAGAGCGTCGGCAGCTTTCAGTTCCCGTCCTCATCCGCTCCAGCCACCGAGAAAGTGGAGTAGCACTGGTTATCAGACGGCTTGTTTAATTAAGCTTCAAGCGGGGTGTGTGTGTGTGCATACATATCCATGTGTGTCTCTTACATATCCATAAATTCTAACAACATTTTTTAACAGAGCTGAAGTCCTAATAAAACTTAAATTGTGATTAGTTTTCTTATACAGGAGTGCAGTAAGAAGAACGTGCGCATCTGTTGCATACATACATACATTTATCCGTCTGTTTAAATAGCAATTAGAAGGGAAATAAACGGATACCTAACCATCCAACCCTTTCACAAGGGGTGCAGCAAATGTATATTTGCTCTGGTGAAGGGAAAATATTTGCTTAATTCCGCGAAATTCAAAGTAATTTAGCGCTTGGCCGCGACCCTTAAGTAAGCTCATTAACATATATGCGAGTGACCCTTGTTTGCTTCCAAAACGCTGGCAAATATTTGACTGCTCTGGACGTTTGCGCCCTAATGACAGCTTGTCAGGCCTAATAGCCGTATCAAGTGCCCTCCATTTGAGCGGGGTAATCCTGTTCGAGGACCAGTTTGCTAATTGCTCGGCATCGAACCTCGGATGCAAGTAACTCGATGCCCTGGTCAGCCAACTCGAACCAACTTTGGCGCACGCACCGACCTCCACATCCACGTCCATCTTTACAGCTTGGTGTCTACGTGCACCTGGTCCTCTCGTCGGATGCCTGCTCCTTTGCTCCGCCGACCCTCTGACTTTCCAGCTGCCAAGTGCCGGGCAAGATGCAGCCATTCCTAATGCCTCTTGTTGGCATCCGAGTCGGAGCAATATCCATCCAAGGCACGCGGCAAACTTTGCGCTCAGCAAGTTTTTCAATTTCGCCCGGCGTTGTCTCAACATTTATCTGCCCTTCACGTTGTCAGTGCTTGTACAGAGATTTTTTGTCATGGCCACCGGAATGCTTAGCTTTCTGTCAACGGCCATCCAAAAGCGCATCCGGGGCCCCGAATATAAAACTGAATAATTTTACTTAAGCTCTTACTCTTTTCCGCAAAGATTAGCAACTTTGTCTGGTGATTTGCATCAATTTGCAATTTTCTGTGGGCAAGCAGGTCGCAAAGTCCAATTCGTATATGCACAAGTGTATAAGGAATCAGAATAGATTTAAATATTTGAAATATTTTTGTTGCCTTGATTCATAACTATTAACCATAGATACACATTACATTATTTGCCATGTGTTCTCAAAAACTGTTGCATATTGCATTTTTGTATATTCAATGGTGTTTTTTTTAGGGGAAACACAGGTAGGAAACAAATAATAAATATTAGCCACACAAAAATCTTTACAAATTTTATTGTGTAATTTAGTTAAATACAATTTTTTAAGTACATTGTATATTAAAAAAATTTAGTTGAACCACTTGCTTTTTTCCTTAGAGCATGAACTGTGTCGACGCTCAAAATGAAGCATTTTTTCTACCACTTTTTTGTGTATATTTGCATGTCGCTATGAATTCGATTAAAGGCCACGTTGCCCCATACATGCGACTTTATTTATGG